CAAACCCTTGCCAGTCGTTGTGAGTAACAGTGTCTAAACTTTGAGACTATTTATGAATACACCACGGTCTACTGCACTCCATAGGCTCTTGTGCTATAGCTGCTCTTGACACGACCAGTGACTGACAGTTAGGCTGAACTCAAGGCTTTGTGGAATTGTGTTCAAGCGTTGTATTAGAGGCTGTGCCTGCAGACTTTCATTTTCCACAGCGAATGCCTTTTTGTTTTGCTCGCAGCGGACTTATCACAGACTACTTTGCTTGACGCTTGCTTCAGATAATAGACTTTTGTTGCATGTAGATAGACTTGTTTCATGCAGGGATTGTTTAAAAACATATTTGCAATAATTATATTTAGGGTGAATGTATGATTGAAAATTTCATAACTTACTTATTTTTAATCAGAATTTGCTCAAATTGTCACTGGCCTGTTTCTCTCAATGTTCTGCTTCTATTGAAACTAACTTAATATCAGGGTGGACTTCCCCTTTAAAAAGCTTTTTGTTGAAATTGAAAAGAATGTACATCAGTCATGTACATGACGTGGTTTAATACTGTAATACACTACAAAGACATGTTATGTTGATAATATTGTACCGGTATGTTAAATTTCACATCAAATATATTACTGATTGGAATTTTTTTCTTCAGATAATATAGAATGCATTTATCATGTTTTGCCACTCAGAAGCCATGTTTCTATACATGCATATTGAACCCCACTATACGAAGGTGATTTGCGGCAAGTCACGTTTATTAAGTCGTCACGGTTCAAAACAAATGCCTTGTCTCTGCGCAACTGCTTTGCACCTTTGACCCGGGAGGCAGATAGTTGCCCGGAGGTCAACTATAGGGCGCGCTTTTTACATGTGATTACTGATTGGAAGAAGAAAAATATTATTCAGATAATATCCTGGTACTCATGAATAATCTGTTTCACAGTGGATTCTCAAAGATGGTTAATCAATTATAGATTGGTTTGTCATCTTCTAAATGGCAGCCATGAATTATATATATCTTCCCCTCCCCTGAGCCAGCCACAGTGGATCCACTGTGGCTGGATGGTGGTAGCTGTTGGAAGACAGAAAGTATGTCGGGTGAAAAAGGGAGGATGCACTCTTGTCTACTGCTGTCTGTTCTTCATTCAGATTACATTGTCCTGTTTTTTGAACTTCATTTAGAAATTTAAATTCGAAAAAAAATTGGATTATTATAAGAATTCTCATTCATAAAATTCATTCATAAACATTCTCTTCACATTTTCTTGTTAATTTATATTTCCTTATTTCAATTTTTGTTTGAAAGTGATATTTTTCATCTCTGTAATTCCTAGGTATTTTCTCTGAGAACTAGTTTAGATATGATACTAATTGGTCGTAGAGCAAATGACAATTTAACATATTTCTCATCATCTTCTGCATATGAAGTAGCAATCCTTTTCAGGGGACATTTCTACAATGATATTCTTCCAAACTTAGTTAACTTACTTCTTAAAAAGGTTGATTGATAATAATCACAGGACGATTAACGACGTACAATCAGCTATTTCTCATACCTCGAAAATGAATGTGATACAGCTAAGAGCCATCCCTTTCAGGGGATATTTCTGTGATGATATTCTTTCAAATAAGTTTAAAGGGGAAGTCCTCTCTGACATTTAGTTGGTTTTAATAGCAGCAGAAACATGAGAGAATCTATGATGATATTCTTTCAAATAAGTTTAAAGGGGAAGTCCTCTCTGATATTAAGTTGGTTTTAATAGCAGCAGAAACATGAGAGAATCTATGATGATATTCTTTCAAATAAGTTTAAAGGGGAAGTCCTCTCTGATATTAAGTTGGTTTTAATAGCAGCAGAAACATGAGAGAATCTATGATGATATTCTTTCAAATAAGTTTAAAGGGGAAGTCCTCTCTGATATTAAGTTGGTTTTAATAGCAGCAGAAACAGAGAATCTGACTTCATAAAAAGGTTGAGAATAATCACATTTCTTTTAGTCGTCTTTACCAGAACTCCGCTTTCTCTTTAACTCTAAACCCAACCGTCAATTACCCAATCAAGTCAAGTTCACACAGAGTCTTCAATAACGAGATGTAACTGACTTGTAGCTAACAGGGGGCAAACGTAGGGCCTCACTGCGGTGTCCGGACGGCTCCGCATTCTTGAGATGCCTAGCATTGGTGTCCAATGCAGCGCCGTCCTGCAAAAATTTCCTCTAGCCCTTTCAGACTATGGGAAAGTTATACGGATCTGGTAAAGATCGTTGTATCAGGGATGCCAGTTTGTTTTAGGCCACGACTTGATTTTGGGCCATGACACTACCCTATGTCAGGCTATTTTAGGTTTTATGCATGTTGTACAGCACATTCTCAGGCTCGCTGGCTGAAAACAACTGGTATCACTGTTGTTAAAAGAATCATTACTTAGTGAATGGAGTGTTTACACTAGATAACAACCTTCCTATTTCAAGCTTTCTCAGGCTTTCTTAGACTTCATGTTGTACAGCACATATGGGCCACTGACATGTAAGAGTTTCTTTTCAGGCTCACCGACTGATCAATAGCACGGTGCCGTCGGTAAAAATGTTTCCCAACTCAAGCACTGTCAAACTCACCACTCAGCAACTGGGACCAAATGTCTGGATTTCTGCTTGGACTTGGAGGAAAATGGATTATTCTGCCATCCTTGGTTTTTAAAACAGCATTGTTCACTGTTATTATTATTATTAAATCGGCGCCTTCAACTGCAACTCAAAGTAAAATTGCATGCGTTTTCGGCGACAGAACTGGGATACTGCTCCAGTGGTATGTATGGTGGTGGCAAACAAAAAAATTAAAAAAAAAAAATTAAAAAAAAAAAAAAATTAAAAAAATTAAAAAAAACAAAACAAAAAAAAAACAAAAAACATGGCGTCCGAATACTCGAGGATTCGCTTGTAAACATAGGAGTGTACTCGGGTACCTCATTACACTGTTGTGCACAGCCTTAGACTGGATCAGGATGCTGATTCTTCATCGAGTTTGAAATGATACAGAAACAAGCTTTATGTGTATGTATATGTTTAGGACATTCAGACTACGAAATACTTGTACAGCTATACAATGAATTTCGATAGTCTGAACGACGCCATCGTTTGGAACAAGGCTTTCGACTCCCATTTTCATTGTGAAAGTGATAGCTTGATTGTTGTGGGTCCATGATAATCTTGCTGGGGACGGAGGCTGGCAGCTACGTCACAAACTAAGTACAGGCATTAAAGGAGGAGAGTAGCTAATGATTGCGTTGTTTGAATTTCAACTGTGACAGATTTCTGTTTCGGTTTGTTACCAGTTAACTGTTAGATGTCAATGATTGTCTTGAAATTGAATTGATATATTAATGAGTATGAACTTATGAAGTAGAAGTAGTAAGTGATGAGCATAGGCCATTTGAAATGACGTTAATCTGTATTTGCCACTCTCCACCCAGGTGTTGAATGGGTACCGGAAGGAAGGAATACCTTGAATACTGTAAGCACTGAAATTGGTTTCCTAGCTAGAGCTAGGGTCTCATTGGAGCGCCTTGAAGCACCTTGCATAGTGGATATGTGGGCTATGAAAATGTCTCTTAGAGTTTGAGAAACAAAGCATACAGTCAGAATGAAAAGAGTGATACAAAAATAGAAATACCCTTCAAGATATCTTTTCAAACAAACAGTTCAAAGTTCAAATCAAAATATATGTAAGAAAATTTAATAAAACATGCAATTTCCTTCCAATTTTTATTGAAAATCTAAATCTAAAGCATGACTATCTAAATCTACGATAACAACCGCTAAAATTATTCTTGAGCAGATCTACAGATAGCACAGTGAATGAGTGAATCTTATAATCTTGAGATCATCTCAATTGACGTTTCCAAACATTGTTTCCTTGGTGTGAACATGTGTGTACTCATGTATTTTATTAAGATACAAGAAGGTTCACAGTAAAGAAAATATACCCTTTGCTTATGGGCAGATCTATACATGACACCGTGAATCAGATAATGTAGGTCATCAAGAGATCTTCTCAAATGATGTTTCCAAACATTGTTTGCTACGTGTGAACTCATACGCAGGAAGTGAAAGTGACAAGAATCCTGAGAGTTGTCCCAGGTTTTTTTTTTTCAGGAAATGTCGAGAATCAGAGGTAAAGGTGCCGCATTTTAGGGAAAAATGTGATGACGTAAACATTCATAAAATACCATGGCAGCCATTTCTTGACACGATGTGCCAAAAGAATTGTAAATTGTCCGCTAAGTGCCTGAAGGGTGCGTTTCCATATCTTTGAATGTAGCTCTCAACGGATGATATTATGCTATCTGTATCAATATTATTTTTGATACTGGAGGTAATTTTACAAAATGCCAACCTCGGTCGAAAAGAGGCTTGTTCGAGTGCACTGTAAATTCATATAGTTCATCAACATTGATATCTATATTTGGCAAATCTCGCATGACTGCTTGGTTTATTTTTAGTTTACATGACTAAACAGAACACATGTATACATCTACGCACCCATATATATCAGGAAAGAATCCCTACATTAGCATTGTTTTCACCGCTGCAATTTGTCTTGATAAGTAGAAGCAATAGCGTTTATGCATCTGGATTCTGGTGTGAATAGAAATCTCCAAGAAAATACACACAACTGTGATATATCAAGGTAATATATTCCTACGTGTATATGGTATATGTCATATTCTAGCTTATTTTACGCAAGATTTAAGTTCAAATTCATTTTTTTTCAATCATGAAATAAAAAATAAGAAGCAAATACGTACTTGTTCATACATGTACTATGTATTTGTAAAAGTAATGAGAGTTTATGTAATCATAATTATGAATTGCATTGCCATTGTACTCTTATATGATTAATATATTTATATTTTTGTTACTTTTCATATCATCAATAACTTTTTTTAATGCTTTGATATTGACACCTTATTCTTTTATTTTCTGTTCTTTTATGTGTCTTTCCAGATAGCTGGCTGTGTAACATCGAAACCTGAAGGATATAGAGGAAATTAGTCACAAGTCTTTTGAGAGAAGCATGCTCGAGTGACAGCTGGACAAATTCTTCAATTTTAAGTAGAATGTTGCCAAAAAGCCACAAGAATGAGAAGAACTAGATGACATCAACTAATTCCTAAATTTTCAGAGGCTGAATCATCAAGAGGCTGATATATCTAGCCAATCAGAGAGAAGTTGTTGTGTGACCAATAAGAAGGAGGCTATCAAACAGAGGCTGAATGTATGTTTGTTTGATAACCAATCAGCACAAGCCTTTCATGAGAGGCTGTAACTTCTGTCCAGTCAGGGAGCTGCTTATGGAGTGACCTTGTTATAAAGGTTTACCTCTTGGAATATATTCTGTGAAAGGATTTATGAATTCTGTGTAGGATATTGGATGCACACCCCAAATCACATTTGAATATTTGAAATTGACCAATCAGAGAGGCTGTAACATAAGTGTTGACCAATCAGATGAGAGTTTAGGCCTGGTCGTGACCGTTTGAATCAGCTGAGCAGGGAAGGAGAACTAGCATCATGTCGACGACGCCGTGTGGAACCTTTGCAAAGATTGTACTATTTGTAGTCAATTTCGTCTTTTGGGTAAGTCGAACTATGCTTTTGATAATGCAATATTCAAACAAAAAGAGCGTTATGCAACTGACTGTTTGTACAAATAGCAACAATTGTGTTTAATTAATATAACATTCAAATATATGTAATTCGACATAGGCAAATGGCCGTGTCATTGGGGAATATGGTTGTGACAGATAATTATCCATTTTGCCAATGTTGAAAAAAACACATTTTGTACCGGTAAGTTTTAAAATGTCTTTTTATTCACAAGCTGATTGACATGAAACATGAAAGGGAGAAATTAAATTTCATCTTCGTCCTTTCTCTTTCGACCTCTCAGCTCACCGGAGTAGCAGTACTAGGTATCGGAATATGGGTTAGCGTGGACCGAGGCACGGCAGACTTCCTGCAACTCTTCGAGGATCCCCTCTTCAAAATACTGGGCTATTCCATGATCGGTATAGGGGGGTTTGTCACCCTCCTCGGCTTCATTGGATGTTTCGGAGCCTGCCATGAACACAAATGGATGGTTTGGCTGGTAAGTTGCATTTTTGACAGATAATGTCTTTTTCATCTTGTTCCCTCTTTTCCTCTTTTCCTCTTACTCTTACTAAATTCATGTGATATTTTGATAAAGCCTCCCAATTTTTTTGTCAGATTTCCTTGATTTTAGTCAACAAAGGGAAATTCTAGCCGTTGTTTATTTCTTATTTTTCATGCTTTAATGAAAGATGAAAACAAATGAGAGTTCAAAGTTGAAAGATGTACTTCCTGGTTAGGATTTGAATTCCCATAAACGACAGGTTCATTATTTTGTGGGTACATGTGTTTAACCATAAATCATTCAATACACGTGGCATCTGACTGGAAGTGTGTGTGTATGGGTATGAGGGAATCATGAGATGAAATTTCAAGAGTCCGTCAAAAGTTGTTAAAGGGAAATCGACCCTGATATCAAGTTTGTTTTGATATTAGCAGAAAAATGAGAAGAACAGGTCTTTGCAAGTTTGAACAAAATCCTATGAAAAATAAGAAAGTTATGAAGTTTTGAATGTGCGATCAATCAAACACAAATTTATAGCAACTCTGTGACGTACATGTATCTTGCGAGGTCCCCTCCCATTTGCTCTGTGCTTCAAAAGAAAATTCAGAAATGTATATTTTTTGTACTAAAAAGAATTTCCAATCATACATGCACCCTAAATATAATTATTAAAACTATTTTCATGTACATCTCATGTATGAAGAAAATCTATTCTGTCACCAATAGGCAAGAAAATAAAAGTTTATCACTTTTTTTGTACAGAGCAAATTGTAGAGGAGGACCTTTCAAGATACATCAGTGTTGCCAATTTGTGTTTCGCTGATGACTGTGACAATTTCAAAAATTCATGAATTCCCTTCTTTTAATAGGATACTCCTCAAACTTTCACTGATACGTTTCTCTCATATTTCTGCTTGTTACTAACACCAGCTAACCATCAGGGTGGACTTCCCATTCAATGTCAGTCCCTGTTTTACAAACTCCAGACTCCCATAAAAGAACAATATGTTTGCTGCTCATTGCCAACATCAATAATTACCCACGATAGAAAAGGTGGGTATATCCTTATGTTTTCCCCATCACAGCATTTCCTTGACCCCCGAGTCAAGTGGGATCGTTCAGCAGTGTGATGTCACAATAGAGATAATGTCATGTGATCATGGTATCTCGCTGCACAACAGATAAAAGGAAAGTGAAAAAAAATGGACAGATCTTCCTAGCCTTCAGATTAGGAAAATTCATGGTATAGCTGTATGAAAACTGTTAGTTGATCTTGATAATGATTATGATGATAATAATAATATGTGGATTTATATAGCACATTTTATAGAGGATACAAATGTGCTGTTCTGTAGTCTAAGGAGAAATTAAGAATAATTGTAGAAGTATGTTTTCAGTTTAAACAAAAAAAGATGTCAGGGGAAGTACTATTTCTTAAAACTGCAGGAACTTTGTTCCATTGGGCAAGGGAAAGGAAAGGTTTTAAAGCCCGTCTGTACTAGTTTGGTCAGAGGGGATTAGACCTCCCTGCAAGGTCACTGACAGGTGGTTATCTCATCAAAGCAGCTCTCAATTGACATAAGAAAAAGGGGATCATGGGGGACCAACAGGCACTGATTAGGCATTGTTTTCTATATAGAGGGCGCAAGTAGCGATAAGTAGTGCAGTAAGGCTATCAGTCAGCCTGCTTAAATGTTATGCGTAAATGAAAGCTGATTTTTGTTGTAATTTGAACATCATGAAATGAAGCGACATATAACAAAACGTATAGCGAAACAGAGATTTCAGCATTGTATCGAACAAAAACTTGGTAAATACTTAAATTATCCAATTCTAGTTTGAGTGTTGTATTGTTTGAAAACCATATAGACCTAACTGACAATGATTATCACGAGCCCTCATATGATTGGCTAGTTTCTTGTCATCTCAAGCCAAAACAAATGTGTTAAATGACCTTTCATAGCAAGTTTCTTCATACAACGTTTCTTTATAAAATACTTTTAAATTTGTTTACTTTATAAATGCCCCTTTCGCTATATAGATTCACCACACCTTTTAAAATGACTCAGTAACATTGCCTCCGATTCTGAAACAAAATCCTGGATTTAGCTCATACTGCAATCATAATTATAAACATGTAGGTCATTCAGGAATCCCATGACTTTCACAAGACGATAGCCTGTCTGATTATCAAGATATTTATGATTGGAATTCAAAATTTTATTTTTCAATTTCTTAACGTTTGTTAATTACACTACAGTCCATTGGGGTAAATGAGTACGGTATGGTAAAACGGGTCACTCAAAGATTTTTCTTTTTTTGAGGCACTTTATGAATGTTTTGAAGTGCAAGTTTTTTAGGGCCATGCACCTCAGATTTAACATTGTTAAATGATGCCTTTAAAAGTTCTGCATGAAATTTGACAAGGCTGAACATGCTAGAAAATGACAGAAAATGACAGAAAAATGTTTTTTGGATAACAGGAAGTGAGATAGACCCATGGGTGTCATTTCTGGGCAAAATTTGTCTCTGAAAAATTGGCAAGTGACAGGGGATATGACAACAAGATAATGATTGGATAAAGAGCTCTGTCTTTTACATTACTTCACATTCACAAGCAAGGCATTTATAGCATGTTCAGACTGCAATGAATTTATAGGAAACACGCTTTATAGAGAAACATTGAATAAAGAATCGTTGTATAGCGAATGGAGCGTAAAGAGTAGATAACAACATTGTATGAAGAAAGCAGTTTTGAGGAGGCCAGTGGGTCAATGATGAGTGCACGGTCACGCTAAGCCACGCCTAGTTATCAATTTTTGTACGATATGACGTTCAGACTCCAATGGGATGCTGATTCTTAAAGGCATCGTTTAACAACGTTAAATCTGAAATGCATGACCTATGTGTTATCAGTGTCTGTGATATGGTGTAATATTGAAGCCCTAACAAAATTGCGCTTCAAAGTGATCAAGAAGTGCCTCAAAATAGTAAAAATCTTTGAGTGACCGGTTTTACCATACTTGTTTAATACCCCAATAGACTGTAGTGTTATGAAAACCATGAGGTAAATCCAGGATGTTGTTTCAGACAAATTTCCCAATCCCTTTAATCGAGTCTTCATTAAAAAAGATGCCCAAACAGACGTTTCGTTATACAATGTTTCTTTATACGAAGTTCAGACTTCAACCTTTTGATTTCCCACTTAGAATCGTATATACAATGAATTTTGGTACAAGTATGAACACAGGCTTACCTTGGTAAAAATGTATCCTGTTAGGGCAGAATGATACATTTGTTTGAGAGTTGTGTGACATTCATCTTGCAGTAGCACAAATTTGCGGTCATAATTGGATAACAGTTAGTGTTTATTTCATGATCTTGCCGCACCTACGACCTGTAGAGGGCCGTAATTGACAGGTTTGTGCCAAAGGTTAGGGTAGTGATGTGAACAAAATTATGAGAATGTTTACATTCTATGAGCATTAATAGGAAACATTGATAAGACTGTTGAAACTTTCCAGGAGAAAATTAGCTACATGAAACAGTGACAAAATAATGCTTAGATGCTCAGGACTCCCCAATCCACCCCCCTCTCTCTCTTACATGGTGCAACCGTAAACCTACCATGTCAAATAAAGCTTGTTAACTCTTTATATATCACAAAGATGATGAACATTAAAATGGTTTTGGGTCAATTTCGGCACAAAGCAAGGTAAAACTGCAATCATTTTTGTTAGCTCAACTGTCTATACTGGTATGTACAGTGTACTCAGATTTTTATCTATTTCATTTAAAACAAAAATATAAAAATAACAAAACAAAAATATGGAGGTGGGCCAAAAGAAAAGGAATGACGCTAGGGAGAGAAACTTCATGTAGGAATTATTTTTATTTGGCCTAAAGTTCCTTAAAAGGCATAGCCATAGGTAGATGACTCCATAATGCAACTAGCAGAGATGGGGGCGAATTAGTTCTTTTTCCATGGAAACGCCAAGTGATGCCATCTCCGCATTATAAGTAGATGATGAGAAAAGCATGAATGAGGGAGAGGAGGGCGATGCATCAAGTCAAAGTTCTTTTCCCGGAGCAGTGCTTTGCATGCATTTTATGACGGCCGAGCGTAAATTGTATACGTGATTGTGATACAGTGGTATTCGGGTTGACTAGGGGTCGATGGCTTTTCTGGAACCCAGTATCTTTGTGAAAGTGCTCGTTGCTCTCGAGTCTCGATCCTTCTTAAAGAATTGTCAGCCGCATGAGGCAGTTTTGATAGCACGAACCATCAACTATGAAGGCAGGAGAGGTTTTTACCAGCTCATTGTCTTGTACCTGTATATAAGTATGATACTACTACTGCTACTGCTACTGCTACTGATGCTACTACTACTACTACTACTACTACTACTACTATTACTACTACTACTACTACTACTATTACTACTACTACTATTACTTCTACTATTACTACTACTTCTACTAATTACAATAATTATAATGATGATGGTAATAATGATAATAACAATAACGATAATAATGATAACGATGATGATGATGATGATGAAGATGATGATGATCATCATAATAATAATAACGTCTTGATTATCCAGGATTTCCGCATCAGTATTAATACTGTTCTCCCTGAGGGCCCTGCAATCATAATGATTTTCAACTACTGGGCATTTTGCATTCTGGACACGTCTTTTGATGCCACAGCATTTTGCTATTCTACCTATTAAAATTAGGACAGAACAACTGGCATTCACAAGCAGCCTCAATTTGAAGCAGCCCAACTTTTTACGTGTTTTGCCAGACACATCAGTTTATTGCACAAGGTAGTACTTGTCTCATGAAAAGCAGTCCTCTAGAGTGACCACCAAAGGAATTGGCAATGACCACAGTTCTTGAGAAGGGAGGGGAGGGGGCAGTCAGAGGGAGTTGGAGTTCATGTTTATTTAAATCACTCTGGGGAAGATGTAGTTGTTCCTCCTGCC